TCCATAATTTCCCTCAAGTTTCCACATTGGGGGAGGGGAGCTATAGACCAGATTAAGTCCACAGGGGTGTTTTAGTTGGCTTTTGCAATGTTTTAAAACAATTGGAATTCATTACCAACACTTTTAAATCAAAAGAGATTTCTCACTAAAATCTAGATTTCTGGGTTCTGCTGAAAAAGCTGAAGATTGGCCACTCCAGTTCCGAGCTGACTGGTGACTGGCCCCTCAGACAGAGCAAGAGGGCTCTGCTTTGCCATGGCCCCTCCACTTCCATGGCCTGCTTCCTGCACAGCCTTCCTTGCCCGGCCCTGTAGGTACTTCAGGGCATGAGCCTCGCTTAAGGAGCCTAAGATCTTGCTTAAGGAGAAGAATCCAAAGGGAGGGAGTAAGCTTCATGCATCATTTCGGCATAAAAACAAAAGCTCCTTTTCCTTCATACACAACCACTGGGCTTGGCTTTAACAACTGTGGAAGCTGAGCCCTGTTACCTCCATGCAGGTAGGAGCCCCATGCCCTGGAGCAGAAACCCAAAGGTGCATGGGAAGAAGGAGTTTTCATCCATCCATGAAACCTTTCTCTTTCTCCCAGAAACAGCCACTGAGATCTCTATCTGCTATCCGGGGCCCAGGGTGGACCAGCAGACGTGTGTCATTTCCCTGAATAGGGGCTATAATGGCAACATTGTGCTAAGTGGAACAAGAGACGTTTTCATTGCAGCCAGCATCAGGCAGATACCCGATCAGAGGGCTCTGGGGATCACCCCACACACAAAGGAGCATGGGAGAGGGGTCCTGAGCCAAGGAGAAGCCGCACATCCACAGCAGCACACAGGGGCTGGGCAGCACAGCGGCATGTCTCCAGAATGCCTGGTCACAAGTTCACTTCCCACTGCAAATAAATAAGCAAATACGACAATCCCAGAAGACAAATGGGACCGCCAGGACACATGCATTAATAGAAGCCAATACTGGCAGGTCTCACACACCCTTGAGTATGTTTTCACTGACTCATAATAACAAATACTTATTACTATTTATTAGGCGTTGGGCACTGTGCTAGGTTCTAAGGATCTAGCAATGAGTAAGACCCAGCGCCCACTCTCACAGCATTTGCAGTCTGGCGGGGGACAGGGAAGCATAGGGAAAGAAGCACATAAGAAATTATATACTATTGACCCAATGGAGGAAGTGAGATTCACACAGCAATGAAGTTGACTCAGGAACCCAGATCTGAGCACCCATCTCTTGTTTTTCTTACTCTTCCTGAAGTCTCCTGAGATCACTGCAGGCTCAGTGAAGAAGGCACCCCAAACACCATAATAAGAAATCTGGACTCTCCACTGAGGGCCAGGGGGAGCCATCACATATTTTTAAGGGGGAAGTTGCATGGTCTGATTGGGATTATGGAATGGTCACTCTGTTGGCCATGGTGGTAGCAGTCCCTAGAGGTAAGGTGACAGGTTCGGAGGCTGGAGTATGTTTCTCTCCCTGGAACAAATAGTCCTGAGCCTCCAAATTTTTCTTTCCCAGGGTTTCCCAGTTCCAACTGATAAGCTAAGAATGAGACTAGGGAGTATCATTTGTTTTCACAAGACCGGGAGCAGGAGGGAGTTGAAAGCTTTCTTCCTGGTATTGTTCACTAGGGAAAAATTTGATATCTTCTTACAGAGTTGGAGCTCCCCACATAGAATTCTTTAGACAAGAACCAGGCAAACCTGGAAAACTTGGAAGTGAGCAAAGTAGGTAGTGAAAGGGAAGATATGAGCCAGATTCTAAAAATCCTTGCCAGAGAGTTGCACTCAAAATGAAATGGAAAGGGGAAGAGAAAAGCAAGTACTAACAACCTCCATTCTCATCCTTGCCCCAATACTTGCCCCCTAATAACCCACGATCCAGCCAACCTGAACTGCTTCGCAGACATGTCCTGCTACCTTGGAGCTCAATGTCTTTGCTCGCACTGCTCTTTGCCCATAATGTTATCTCCTCATTACACATTCTCAGTTGCCTCCCTTCCAAATGTCTGTCATCCATTACAGCCTCTATGATTAGTAAAAAAGTCTTGCTTTGTCTGATGGACTCCAAGACCACTTTATTTCTCCTCTGGTACTTTTCATACAGTAATTTTTATTATATTATTTTATACATATCTATCTCCTCTACTAGATTGTATATTCCCTAAGGGTGGAAATCATTCCTACTTAGCATTTCTTCTCTCAATAGAAACTTGCACAGAGTGCAATCAATATTGCCTAAGTGAATTTATGGACAGTGTGGATTGTTAGTTTTTATGAGGAATAAAGAACTCACTAAAGGAAACTTACAGAAAAAAAAAAAAATAGTTATTCCTTGTCCAAACCCGCAAATAACTTTCTCATCCATCTCAGTTACTCTGACAGCAACCAAGCTGTAGACAACTTAGTCAACATTGCCATCTAGTGGATATTATGGGTAATTATTTAAACCAGAACCCCTATACCTTCCCAGTAACTTTTTTGTTGTTGATTCTCAGAACTGTGCACAGACTGTGTTCTCCCGTTTCTATATGCTTCCCAGACCACAGCTCAGTTAATTCCACTCCATAAATTATTCCATGGACACTTATACATTTTCCTTAGCCTTTTTTACTTTTTTGTTCCAATTCTCTGAATATATCTCCAAAGTCCTTGAAAGTTTCTGAAAGTTCTCTAAAAGTCTCTACTGGGCAGGCGTGGTGACTCATGCCTGTAATCCTAGCACTTTAGGAAGCCGAGGCGGGAGGAGCGCTTGATCTCAGAAGTTCGAGACCAGCTTGGGCAACATAGTGAAACCTCATCTCTATTTTAAATATTTTTTTAAACATTATAAAAATAAAAATCTCTATAAAAGCCTCCATCTGTTTTTGCAATAGTAACATTTCATACTGTTTTCCTAAATTATTTCAAATGAAATTTTATGTTTTTAGAAGAATTAGTGAGCTAGCCTGAGAACTTAAATACAATTTATGGCCTTGTTTCCAAGTGTTTCAGAGTTCAAACAATAAACTTTTAAAACTTAATCCACTGGCAAATTGTTGGTTGGCTGCTTTAGAATTTAAACTGACCTTTTCAAATTGGAAAAGGGGACAGCAACAAAGAGGAACTCAGAAAATAATAATGGCTCATATTTTATAGCTGTTTGTGGTTTGTAAAGTGGGTTTGTATCATTTCATTTGCCCTACCAACAGTCCTGTGAGGACTTACAGTATGAGGCTTCCCATAGCACAGATGAGCAAGAAAACCTCATTGATGAAAAGTTATTATACAATGTAGTATTTAGATTGGTGCAAAAGTAATAGCGTTTTTTGCCATTACTTTCAATGGCAAAAACCACTACTACTTTTGCATCAAACTAACAGAACAAGAGCCATGCACAAGTTTTCATACATTGTTCACGACATCACGTTTGGTCTGAGTGCTCATACACATACACACTAAATAAATTACTGATGCAATATTTTAAGACAATGTTGATTTTAATTTGCCCATAAAAGCAATAGAGAAAATATTCCCGGTCAGGCAAGGTGGCTCATAAACCCAGCACTTTGGGAGGCCGAGGCAGGTAGATCACCTGAGGTCAGAAGTTCGAAACCAGCCTGGCCAACAAGTTGAAACCCCGTCTCTACTAAAAATACAAAAATTTGCAGGGCATGGTGGTGGGCGCCTGTAATCCCAGCTTCTCAGGAGGCTGAGGCAGGAGAATTGCTTGAACCTGGGAGGTGGAGGTTGCAGTGAACTGAGATCGCACCACTACACTCCAGCCTCGGCAACAAAGCAAGACTTTTCAAGAAAAAAAAAAAAAAGAAGAAAAGAAAAGAAAGAAAATATTCCCAGTCCAGGAAAATACAGGCTGGTCTTTCCCAGGCCTTTTCTTGACTCCATACCTTTGTGGTGGGTGTTCCCCGTTCCAGAATGTTCTAAGTAGGGAACGGTGGCCAGCTTAAAGCTGAAAACCATGGCCTGGCCCATGGTGGGAGGAGCGGTGTCTAGAATAACAATTGGTCCTGGACTTTATGAAGGGTCTTAAAGTCAGACATTTGATATTGTCTATCAATGAATGAGACCTATTTTCACAAGATATACCAATAAGGTGAAGAAGTTGACATTCTTCATACAGCTTTAAACTTAGATCCCATTATTGTTCCACACTGGTCATAGCAATAATTTTCTACAATCTTGCGAAAAGTACACTTACATTGCACTGTATTTTGTATGCTAAAAGTATTCATTTCCACATTTTTTATCACTGTTTTGCATGTTTTCACGTTATTCATTTTTCTATTCTTTTTCTGAATTCTCCCAGATCCTCGTATGTTTTCACGTTTTAGTACACAAGGAACCTCAAAAGTTGAAAGTGTCCCAAGCCCTTGCCCACCTTTCAGCAAGCCTCTCTTTCTCCCATTCCTAGGTGCTTTTCTTTCTGAAGATCTTTGTTACTATTTAACTCCTCTTTTGCAACACCACTGACATTGCACCCGCATCGCCGCGGGCCCACTGTCTGGCTTAGAAGGTGCTCCAGAAAGACCCGCGGCGAATGAAGAAGACAAGCCCAAAGCCCGGAAATGGGTGGCGGCTGCAGGGAAGGGGGTTTTGATTCCATAGGATAAAAAAGGACTCCAACGGTCTCCGCATTCAGGAATGGAGCGGGCTGAGGGGTGCGGTGGTAAGACCCCATCACTAGCGGAGTGCAAGCAAAGCCGCACACCTCCTGGGTTCGGGCTGGGGCGGGCCGCGCGGGCGCGGGAACGAACGCGTGCGGACTAGGAAGCGGGTCCTCCAAGCCCAAGCGAGAGCGCCGCGGAGGGCGAGCTGGCGGCAGGGCGCGGCGCGGGCGTGTGCGGCACCACGGGACAGCGGCCGGCGGCCCAGGGGGCGAGGCGTGCTCGGGTCTATTCCAGGAGCGGCGCTGAGGGGCGGGCGCGGGCGCGGGCGCGGGCGCGGGCGGGGCGGGGGCGGCCGGCGAGCATCCTGTCTGGGGGAGGGGACCGCGGAGAGCGCCGGCCGCTGGGCGGGCCTGAGAGCTCAGCGCGCCCGCCGCCACCAGCCGCGCCGGAGCCCCCGCGCCCTGCGGCCCGCTCCCCGGGGACCAGGCCGGCGCCATGGACCGAGGCCGGGGTAAGAGGGGCCGCGACGCCCGCACTTGTTGCTGCGCCGGGCGAGAAAGGGAGACCGGGCGATCTGAAGCCGGAGAGGAGGAGGGAGAGAGGCGGGCGGTGGGGCGGGGGCTGAAGAACGCTCGGAGGGAACTGGGAGACGCGGCGCTGGTGCACAGGTGCCTCCTGCTGCCGGGACAACCCGGTGCGTGTCAATGCCTGTGTCCTGGGGCCAACTCGCCTCTCGCGTGTGAAATCAGAGTTTTCGTAGGCTAAGGATTTGTAACTTCATAAAAGATCCCCTCTAGATGCCGGAGGACAGCGAGCTCCTCTGACCCCATTCCACTCTAAAGGGGAAAGCTAGGTTTCCAGGTTCAACTCCCGAAACACCCGCCGTGGGCAGTCCCTGGGGAGAAGCCCTAGGGGACCGAAGTTTGCAGCTGCCTAGGGCATTGGGAGAAGGAGGAGCGCCGGGAGCAGGCGCGCCTGTGCATGTGTGCGCGAGGGAGGGAGGAGGCGGGGGTGGTTCTATCCCGGACCAGCTGTGTCCTCTGCCCAGGCCCTCCTCTCTGGACCAGCGACAAAGTTGGACTAGATGGTCTCCAAGGCACCTTGCTGACTCTTTTACAGTGTATTTGGTAGACGTTTCACAGAAATGGAGGGGACTTACTGGAATTGAGATTGACGTGAGCCGAGAGGGCAGCATTGGTAGGGGGCTAGCGCACATCTTTTTCTTTTTGTTTTGTGTTGTTTGAGACTGAGTTTTGCTCTTGTTGCCCAGGCTGGAGTGAAGTGGCGCAATCTCGGCTTACTGCAGCCTCCGCCTCCCGGGTTCGAGCGATTCTCCTACCTCAGCCTCCCGAGTAGCTGGGATTACAGGCATGCGCCACCACACTCGGCCAATTTTTGTATTTTTAGTAGCGACCGGGTTTCACCATGTTGGCCAAGCTGGTCTCGGACTCCTGACCTCAGGTAATCCGCCGGCCTCGGCCTCTCAGAGTGCAGGGATTATGGGCGTGAGCCACCGCGGCCGGCAGCGCACATTTTAAGTAAAGGTCTAGACATGGCCTTTGGCAATGGCCAAATTGGCCTGTGTGTGTCTGTAAAGAAGTGGCCTGCGGACACGTAAACAATGTCAAAGACTGGGAATCAGAACCCCAGGGTTTCAGTCTGCACCTCTGGAATCCAAAGAGATCACAGGTATGAAGGCACTAGATAAACTAGTGAGTGCTGTGCCAACAGGCGAAGCGTTGTTGTTATTATTAATAATGGAAAATTCCTTCCCCTCCCCACGATAATCCCACACCTCACCCCCATCTGCCTGTTTGCTGTGCTGACCCCCCAAGGGAGAAAAAAAAGGAAGGAACAGGGGCATGGGAGCAATTAGGAGGCACTGGGGCAGGGATGCGCCGGGAGCAGGTGTGGGGTAACCTCGCTTACTCTTACGCGGAAAGTCAGGCTTGGCGAGCTCAGAGGGCCAGAGGGGACTCCTGGCTTCCAGTTCAACTTCACCTGCCCCTCCCCAACACAAAATACTGCATTAACCTTCTTCAGGGACTGGGAGGGGCAGGCAGGAAAGAGAGGGGGCTCTGTATTTGGTTCTTTAGCAACTGAGGCCTAGATTTGTAAAGCAGTTCTCACCTGTTAACTGATTTCTAGGCAAGTGTGCAGAGTGTACATCAGGGAGGAAAAACAGAGAGAAGAGGCACCTCTCACACCCCTCAGTCCTGCTGTTCCCACCTCCCACATCATAGGTCTGAAACAAATACCACCATCCCTCCTCCCCTTCACACTCCTACCCGCCCCCCACCTCCCCCACCTCTCCACCACTCCCCTCCCCACCAGTTTTTAAATAGCACCCTGTCTGATCTCCAGTACAAAAATCCATACCTAGGCCTACCCAGGCGTGTGGAAAGTGCACTGTGTCATCCTAAGACACAGTGACAATAGTTCACTTCACTTTAAATGCCTGGTCACCAACACCTCCATGTCAGAAGGCTGCCTCCAGAGCACTCTTCCTAGGAAGTCAGACTTACCGGGAATCCCTTGGTGCGGAGAGCCTAGGAGGGCTCTGACCGGCTCTCTTCCTGCAGGCTTTTCTAGCCTACTATCTTCCTTCACACCTCTTGTCACAACTTTATGACGTAGTTATCGTCGTAGTTAGTGTCGGCCTCCCTACCCGGAAGTAAGCTTCAGGAAGGCAAGGAGTGGATCTATTATGATCAATGTGCTGACACCGCGCACTGAGGAGCTCCAGCAGTGGTTTCATTAGTAAACTACAACACACTTTATAGTGCAGGTCAAACTGATTACTTGTACAGCAATACTTAGTAGTATTCTCTTTTTAAAAATCAACATTGCTGTACAAGTAATCAATTGGAGAACGGTAGTAAGTATACTCAGATCAGTTCTTGGTGACCTACAAAGACCATCTCAAGTAAAGTGGTCTTGTGGCTGGGCACACAAGATCAGTTTAACTGACTGGATCCTCAGTTCTCTACTCTGATAAATAATTGCAAACACAACTGTGTTATGAATCGGAATGCAAAATCTGCATGCATTTTAAGATAAAACGTGAGACTTCAACAAGTATTCCAGGCTGGGCTCACGCCTGTAATCCCAACACTTTGGGAGACCAAGGTGGGCGGATCACTTGAGGTCAGAAGTTCGAAACCAGCCTGCCCAACATGGTGAAACCCAACGTCTACTAAAAATACAAAAATTAGCCGGAAGTGGTGGCGGGCGCCTGTAATCCCAGCTACTCGGAAGGCTGAGACAGGAGAATCGCTTGAACCTGGGAGACGGAGGTTGCAGTGAGCCGAGATCGAGCCATTGCACTCCAGCCTGGGCGACAGAGAGAGATTCTGTCTCAAAAAAAAAAAAAAAGTATTCTAGCAGACCTTTCTTGTACCCCTGTTCCCAGGCAGGTGTGCACTCTCTTCTGTCATCAGGGAAGGCTTAAGAAGCACAGGTCTCATTTCAGCCTCCTGCCTGCCATGTGTCATGCCCAGCTGACTGGGACTGTCATGCCCAGCTGACTGGGGAGGAAACCACGCATCAGTATTCACGATAATAACTGAAATCATCAAACTCTTGACATGTGCCAGGCACTGTCCTCAGCTTCTTATGTGGCTCCTCTCAGAACAACCCATAGGATGAGGCCTATGAGCTGGGACTATCATGAATCATACCTCAGAGGAAAGCAGGCTCGACTTGGGTATTAGCCAGCGAGGGCTGCAGTAACAGAATACACAGACTGGGTGGCTGCAACAACAGAAATTAATTTTCTCACAGTTCTGGATGGTGGAAATCTAAGATCAAGGTGCAGTCAGGGTTAGTGTCAAGTGGGACCTCTCTTCCTGGCTTGTAAGGACACTTTTTGCCTTGTCCTTTCATGACTTCTTCTCTGTGCATCCAGAGAAAGAGCTCTCGTGTCTCTTCTTCTTCTTATAAGGACACCAGTCCTATTGGATTAGAGCTCCTCCTTACCACCTCGTTTAACCTTAATTACCTCCATAAAGACCCTGTCTCCAAATACAGTCACACTTGGGGTTAGGGCTTCAACATATGCCTTTGGGAGGGACACAATTCAGTCCATAACAAGCAGCTTAGGTCACTGACATTAATTTGCTCAATTATTCATTCCCCATGTGAGACATAGAGCTGGGGTTCAAACCCAGCTGTCTCCATATCAAAGTCCTGATCTTAAGCTTGCTGCTGACTGCCTCCTTGGTGGCAGGTGACCTGCCCAAGCCTTAGAGCAGAACCTAGACGCCAAATCTTCCTGCTTCAGGCCCCAGATATCTCCATGGCACTTAAGCTGCACTATTCAGATATTTCATAGCAATTGCTGCTAATATACTGAGCATAAAAAGCTCAGCATCAAATTCAAGTGACTTGAGAATGGAAATAAACTTGGAAGGTAGAATTTCTTTTCTAACAGGATATGTGTCTTTCCATGGGGGGAGAAAAGGATTCATATAACACAGTAACAGATATAGAAACCATTTAAATAATAATGGCAATCCTTCCAGAGGGTTTCCTGATTCACAAATATTATACAAAGAGAATCAACCATCAGGCAAAGCCAATGTCTGTGGACACCACCTTCTACAGGACAAGTTAATTAACTCTCTGTCCCTATCATCTCCCACATTATACATGTAAAGCAAATAATGCCACCCGCAGATGAGGATAAATTATGGATACTGATAACACCTATTTCTTGGATTTGTTATAAATAACCTACAAATAATACCTAGCATAGGGGATCTACTCAATAAATCCTGGCTATTGTAATAATTGCAAATTTTTTTTACCACACTCATCATTAATAAGACTGCTTTATAGAACTTCACTTTCTTCTTCCATAAGCTACTCCAACTCTCATGTTGCTTTTTGAGTCCCTGCTCTGTTTTAAGTACTGAATTAGACAGCTTTGTGTACAACTCAAAGATAGGGAACAGGTTATAATCTTGTTTGTATCACGGTGATCCCTTATGGTACTTGTCTCTTGGAAATCCACTTATGACCTTCAGTAACTGGACCACTGTCCAAACGACATTTCTGAGAGACCAAAATGTTCATTTTCTGTTATATATTCTCTCTATTCAAGCCTACTGACTGTGGCTATGTCATCACAGTTTCGCTTTTGCGAACTTTTCATTCTTCTTGAACCATCATCTCTTTAAGGCTATGGTCTGAATTTTTTCCGATTTTTTTAAATTTGCCTTCTTAATGTCCAGCATTATTCTGATCTCCCAGGCTCATGTGGAATGATTGATTTTCCCCAAGGTTCCTTTCCTTTCCCCTTCACAACTGGTTCTTTTCAACTACTGCAGTTCAACTACTCCTTCCTTTCCTGGCCAGACTTCTCAAATAAATGGTCAGCAACTCCTCCCGCACACTCCTTTCACCTCCTGCGGCCTCGTTTCCAATCACACCCTCCACTGAGAGCCCTCTCTGAAGGATCACAAATGGCTTCCACTTCCATTGGACCAAGACAGGAGTTTCTTTTGCTGC